AATTTTACACTGATGTTGCTTATCAAACTATTCATATCGGCAGACGTTCGATAGATGACCCAGACATATTTTGATTTTATCATATTCACCTCAACCATCCTACGGGACGTGTCAAGCACTTGCTTTTATCCCGTGATAAATCATTGTTCATTGTTCAAACAACACGTGAGCAAAACTAGAATGCAGTTATCACACATTCCATCTGCTATGTTCGACGTTAATACTATGTGCACGTCGTTTGTTAATTACATGTCGGTGACCTAATGGTCCAGGAGTCCGGTGTGCAATCCGCAGGTCAAAGGTTTGGGTCTGTATAGTTGCGGGCGAATTCGAAGTAGCCTTTTCCCGCATGCGACTGCTAATAGTGGTCGCGCAGCATCGAAGCGTCGGTACGAGGCAGGGGCTAATGGCTGATACCCGTTCTGTTGCTTATAAACGTTATGCTAAATAGATGCTTTCGGAAGTACTCCCATTAGGCGAGCATTAAACTAACGTATGTTATGGGCAGCAATTCCCTAGTTGTGCTGATATTTCAGTGCCATTTCAACCTTAAATGGTCTCAATACTGCGTTTTGTCCTGGGTCCCACTTTCGCCGCCCGATTCGTATCAGAGCTCGTCTTAGAAACTGTGACGCAGACTTAGCAGTCGTTCTATCGGAAGTCAGTATGGATGAATTCGGCGAAAGTCTAGTCAGTTATATGGCTCTGAATTATTAACCGAAAGGTACATAAGAAAAGCAGGCGGCTTGACATAAGCGATTGGCCGACCTCCTCAATTATATTCGTTGAGCATGAACAAGTTGCAGTCATTAAGTTTCACACTGGAGTTTAAATTCAGTCAGTTCAGCCCGCATGTGTGACGCAGGATCGACGGGCTGCATCAGATTCCGTCATCACCAGGCGCAAACTTATCAGGAACGTGTTCATGCTAATGCAACCTATTTAAGCTGCCTCAGGTCACAAGTGGAACGGAGCTAACACCCACTGTTTAACTTGTAGATGTGTATCAGGTCGCAAAAGATGCAAACAGTCATGCCTGTCCCAATAACGGCTGTCACGGAAGTCCTTGAGTAAAGGTGAGTTGCTGCGAAAATGCGCTAACTCAAGAGGATCAGCGTCGATCTTATTCATTAATAGAGACTCGCTAACTATTCTGAAACTGTACTTTAGCAAAACGGGGAATCTACGGTGACGAACGCTTTGTCAATTACCACCACCGCACCTAACAAATGATATATGCAACAGCTTAAGCAGCTTTCCTCCTAGAAGACAAAGAAACACAGTACTGTCTTAACTGACACAAAGAAAGCTTCGACCGTTTAGTCAGGTCCGTACCTCTGGGATCCGACAATGGAGCAATGCAACCGGATCCACACCTTGTTCTTACAACAAACCATGCAATTCATAGGGAAAATTAGGCTTCAACCACTGTTCCTATGCTTCGTGTTGTTTCCGATCTGACATTGCTTGAAACTTACCTTTAAATTCAGCAAGGCAGTTTTGATAATGTGGTGACTTGGCTGGTGTGAGCTCCTGGACCGGATTAAGTTACTGCACGTTTCAGTGTGACTCATTCGCACTGTTAATTGCCGGCCCTTTAGATGATAACGGGTTAATCGTTGCAGCTATTCTAACACTATCTGAGCATGGGATGGATGTAAGCTATTGTGAGTCTATCTACAAATCACCGCAAACTAATTCAAAAACAACCGGCAGATAGTATCTTTTTTCTCACGTGAGGCCTAGCTTAGGAAAAGTATGAAACATGTACGCAGGGTACACGCCACTCCGCTACAATCAGTGCTCAGACGACGTTTACCTCTTCCAATCCCCAAGTCGAATGGCATTGCGTGCAATCCCAGCATTGCACAATTTGACATGTTCGAGATAGGATTCTTCCTCACAGTTCTGCCACCGAGCTGATTCCTGACTCGCATCTTTCCACATTTGGCCCTCATAGAGCATCAGCAGATCGTCTGCTCGACCAACCGCGTGTCTTAGCGAATGGTCACTGTTTGTCGACCGCTCATCCAATGGTTGTGTGATGGCCTTTTCAAAATGCATCAAAGCGTTCACATAGTCCCCAACACATTCCATTTCGGTAGCGTATTCTCGACAAATGAATGGGATTTCATCAGGGGCTAGATTTCTCGCCAACTGCAAGGCGGCATCCCAGTGAAGCAGATCTCGTCGCATCTGGAAGAAACCGCACATGAATTAAATGTTTACCCACTTCAAAGGACAGTAGAACACAGATGCGTATTCTGCACATCCACAAATCGAGGTGGTTGATGACGGAGCATAGATGAATTGTGTTGACTTGGCAGAGCAATCTAGCGGAACCAAAACTCGTCGTTTACAAAAGCTAGACGATGGAATTTCAGAAGGAGGAGTGCTTACACCAGTTACCCTTGCTATCTCGTAATTCGCAGATTCAAAGTTGGCATACTATAAGTGTACGTGTGGCCCACGGACATTGATCGTGATGCGTCGACTATGGACTTGAGTGACAAGTGCATTTGAGGTTGCAGTGTTCTTCAGATGGCTCGATAGGTTTACTCCCCAAACGAGTTTCGCAGTGCTTCAGCGGTGTTGTCATAATTGGTGTGCTCATGGGCCTGGAGTCAAATAGGAGCAGGTAATTTCACGACTCCATGATCACACGGACATCCCGTGAACTAAGCATGGCAAATATTGTGAACAAATCCTAACTTCTCGCACAGGCACCCTGGATATTAGTTCCTAACTTAAAGTTGACCTACATGTTGTCGCGGGGCTCAAATTCAACAACATATGCGTTAACAACCAGTATGTATGTAGATCGGATTAGTTGTATGTCACACGTGCAAATCGCGATCTCCCGTTAATTTCCACCTTCGGTTATGCATATGGAGAACGGAATACAGGAGTCAGATGTCTGTGCAGTAGTCGACGGAGTGCGGACAGACATCAGCTTATCTCTAGGATGACTCATAAGCTAGTTGGCTAACCAATGAAAATCCACAGTTGCATAGCCTTCTCACTCCAGCGTCAGTAAACCTTGAGCAAATGCAAACCGGTGTTTAGATGAAGTATCCGAGTAAATTATGAGGTTCTATAACATGTCACCAGTCCTTTCGCTTACTGACCTCGGACCGTAACTCAGAAGCAGTGTTAAACCCCTCACAACGCTACTGTACTCACTAAGAGCCTCTCGTAGTGCGAAATGACCAACCATATTTTACTTGAGATGAGGATCATAATTTGTCAACTCCGCTTTGGAACATGTAGTTAACTTGCTTACACTTAATACAAAATTACGCAGCTCAAATAAATAAACTGAAGTCTGTTGAACTGTTTACTGTACGCTATTGAGAATGGTAATTAGTTCAGTACAAGCATAATTTTGATATTTCTAAGCACATGTTGGCAATAGCAAACAGAGCCGACCACTTGCCTCAAGCGCCGCGATTGGTTTTGAAGAAGCGAGGAACAGTTCTTGAGCCTCTTCATACTCCTTCAGCATCATTGCCACGTAGCCCCCAAGCAGGAATTCATCTTCGATCTGCTGGATACGTTGGACTGCCATCACGAGTCCAGGATGATTTAAGTTACGAAAAGCACGAATAGCTGTGGTAGAAAAGAAGAATGCAACGGCGGTAAATTATACAAATACTCACCTTGTGGCATGTGCTAAGTACTAGACCGAAAATAAAGTTTAGCGCTACACCACCGAGCAACATTCGATTGTGCCCAGATGTCTCAATGGAAAGTACTACCAAAGCCTGCGGCACAACAGCCAAATTGGTTATGGCGAAGAGAATGACAGTCAACGTGTTACAACCATTAAGAAGAGTTGATAAGTCAGGGATGCTTGTTGCTCGGCTTCATTGACATCACCATATGCACCAGAACCATTTTGATTTACATCTTACACTATAACCTAATGACCAAGTAAGTAGTAAGTAGAAGGAGAAACAGTAATGCATAAAGTTCATCAACTGTGATATTATGTATTTTCTGAGGAAGTTAGCCTGAATCATGGTACACACTCCGCAAACGTACGACAGCCCACAGTCTGAACTTTCAAAGTTCACGGAGTGACGTTTGCGTCATACTCCTCGCCCACTGCGAAGTCTGACAGGAGGGAGAGAAACTGTGTGGTCAGGAGTGTCAGCAATTGATAAACCAGCCACGTGTCATCCTGAAACTTAGGGTACTCACATTATTTCTGAGTGCGCACACCATCAGAGGGAAAGTTCGAACTAAGCAACGTGGCACTGGTTCATTTCAAACAGAACTTCCGAGAATCGCACAGTCCCCTCATGCCGGCTTCCGGGGCACCACAGACGGATGGTCCAAGGAATATGGATAATCTTTTTAATACCGGCTGTGGCGCATGATCCGTCGCTAATTCATTCGAAGACTATCCAAGACCAAATCACATGAAAATGAAGTAGCATGACTTTCAACACGAACAACTGCCTCCGACAAGATAAAAAGGGGGAATAAGGGTAGAAAATCCAGTAATCTGCATAGGTTTCCATAGAGGACCTACACAACTATCATCATGGCGAAATGCCATTGGATGCGAAACAGCGCCCGATATAGAATTAGACAATCAGCTTCAGTGAGGAAGGTTAACGAAAGCGGATCCACTTGCTTCGTTAGCGTTTCTTTACTTTAACAATAACGCTAGTGCCTTCCATTCCATAGATCACAAAGTCTCGAAGGCTATCGTATTTGCAACATAAACACAGGCAATGTCGATGGGACGCTTCAACGGTGGGTGCACGGAAAGAACAACGCTGTGTTGAACCGGAAACACGTGATCTTCCAGTATTTCACATGACTGAAGTCTACTGGCCTTTGTACCTCCAGAATGTCCATTCGTTTTATTGACTGTACATTCAGTACACATTCTCTTCCCTGTGGGTTTCACGCTACGTTATTTCTCACTCTATATGCTTGACTCTCCATTGCTTGTAGTATTTAGAATATACGTTGGCTTCAACTGCCCAGACTCTCTCACTCGTCCCGTACATGGTACTTGTTTCATGGGTCATGTGTCAATACTTCCGAACCAACCACACGCTAAAATGATTTCGGGTTCATACTTTTCGACTTCCTGAATGGCCGCATGTCAGCGGCGATCCTCAGATCAATAGAAATAGTACGGTCTAGTCCCGATTATCAAACTGGTAGCAACAAATTACGCCACGGACTGCAGTTACAGCTAATGCTTGGCCGTTGTGCGACCTGTTGGATTGACATTTACTGTCACGTAGAGAACAGAATCCGGGCCAAATAATGGCGTGTTTCCGTGTTCATATAAAATGTACCTGCGATTTCTCGGTTATCACTCATTGAGACTAGTTCAGTTGTGCTGACTGGGTGGCTTTACTAACGCCATGAACAATGATTTATCACGGGTAAAAAGCATGTGCTTGACAAATCCCGTAGGATGGTTGGAGTAAAAATTAAAATTTAGTGGATCATCGAATAAGTAAATCGTTATTTCAAGCGTCTACCGACTTAAATGCACTACTACATAACGATAGCTTGAAGTGGGAATGGGATGTGCACACACAAAATAGTATAAAGTGCCGTCATAGTTCAGTAAATGGGTGAAAATGAAAAAATGAAACGACAACGCGCACTCCTGTGTTGCTTCATTTGACAGATGTGGCAGGTTAATCCAGTTTAGATACATCCACGTTACTCAGATGGACACTTCTGCATGTATCCTTGCCGCCACGTTGCGGAGAGGGCCGTTAAGCACATGGTTAGGTTTGCGTTATTTCGTCCTCCAAGTGGAACGGACTATACCAAGTAATGCAAGTTGGAAAGAGTTTCATCCAGACAGTTTTTTGAATAGCGTTAATGTAGGGGCAAGGATAACGTAAGTCGGAAGTGCATTCCAGGCACCGGACACACGGAGGGAGAAAAAGTTTCGTCGACAATCAAGCCGACTTAGTGCGTAGCCAGTTTTAGCTGATGGTTTCGCAGGTTGGTATTTTGGCTCAGCTGCAACAGATTGCGACATGGGTGAGTTGGGTTCGTCAGTATTAAGTAAACCATGATTAGGTCTCCTCTCTGACGTCGAATATCCATCACTATACAATCTCAGAGATTGCAGTCTGCGTTGGTAGGAGAGATGAAACAATCTTATAACGAGTTTGGTCACTCTACGTTGTGGAGCTTCAAGTGCATCAACTTCGCGCTTGCGCCAGGGACGCCAGGCCTGGATCGCACATTCAACTTAAGGCCTCATGTGGGCGTTCAGCATTTGCGGAAACATTGATGGCTCAAAATTCCAGAAAGTCCTCTGTAAGAGTCCAAGATGTTGACTGGCTCCTTTTGATGCCTTTTCAGCCTGTCTAGAGCAAATAAGCACTCACTGCACGATCACCCCGAGGTCGTATTCTCGGGAAACATGTCGTAACTGCTGGCCCCCAAGTCGACATTCATAGATAAACTCATATCGTGTGCAAGCGACTTTACACGTGGTCACGTTGAACTGGAGCCGATTGTCAAGTGATAACGCATAAGCCCTGTTGAAATCGCTCTGCAATGTCATATGATCATCCGATGTCCTGATATCAAGCCAAATTTTAAAACCACCTGCAGATATCAAGAAATTCGACTGCAGTACACTGGTAAGATCCTTAATGGATGTTAGGAATAAACGTGACCCCAGTACCGATTTTTGAGACACGCCATACTGGGCGTCAATTGGGTAGGAAATGGAGCTGCGGACTCTTACATTCAGCTGACGATGAGTGAAGAAGTTGCTGATCCAACCGAGTACAGAGTCACCGCTTGCATAGCTTCGAAGCTTGTGAAGGAGAATGCGGTGGTCCAAACCATCAAACGCATTCGAGAAGTTCAGGTAGACAACGTCGGCTCTCTCTGTGGAATCGGCTGACTCTGTTCAGTTTGCTCGGGCTAGCAGCAAGTTTGTAGTGGAGGATCGATTTCGGCGGAATCTGTGTTGGTGTAGCACTAGAATGTTGTTGCTCTCAAGATATCCCATGAGCACCTCTGCAATTATATTTACCATTACTTTGGATAATACTATGTTGAGAGTGACTGGACAGCAGTTAATGGCTCCAAACAATTACCACTTTTCTAACTAGGTGTGACTACTCCATGTTTCTACATTGTTGAAACCTGCACTTCATCGAGACAACGTTGAAAGAACCGACCTAATGGTTCGGCAAGGTTCATGGCCGCTGTCTTCAATGCCCTTGGTTTGATATTGTCCACTCCAGGTGAGCTGAGCAAGCGCCATAACAGTAGCGTTTTCATCACATTGGCTGCCGTGAACGATACGTGGCTTAACCTTTGTAGCCATGCAAGCCAAGTCAAAAGCAGAGGAATTGAGAATTTAATACGGAAAGTATGCATGAAGAGTTGGAGAAGTACGTTGACTGCCTTTTGTGCGGTGTGCGCAAAACTACTTGTTGCAGGTAAAATGGGATCCCGCGCTGCACCCTAAAGAGCTTGTTGACCTGTTTACCAAGAAACGTGGTTTGTACTGAATTTTGAAGCTAACTTATGTTGATGCTGGAGTTTACATTCTCGGATCAACTTGACACAGTGGTTTACTTGAGTTTTGTAAGCACCGCAGGTCAGGTTACTTGGACAGACTTTGTAAGAGCGCCAGGCCGAATCACTTAATACCACGTATATTCTAGTAAGGCTCCTCGGGAACGAATTCCATTGATTCGGGCGAAGGATCTTACTTGCTGACGCATTTGCCACTATACCATTTGTAAATTGCTAACATCCTTAACGCAATCGCTTACATTCTTAGTGCAGAAGCTATCATGCTTAGTGCAGAAGTTTTCCTCCTTAATGCAAAGGCTATCATCCGATAATAATCGCACTTGCATCCACGAGGCACTGTGTGGGGCAGAGGCTACCAGCCAATAGAATTCGGTATAGCGTAGAGACTGAACACAGTTACGCGCAGAATACTCTTGCTTTCGGAGGTGGTTAGGAAAACTGTGCGACTTGGGTGAGACTAGCGTGGTCCAACGCAAATGGACGGCAATTGAGACTTTACTACACGGAGCTCAGCCGGTGCACAGTGTGCCGCGCGTTCTCACTGGACAATGGAGGTGTCTGATACATCCACTGGAGCGCGCACAGTCCCTGAGGAAAGGGAGACGCGTGCGCTCAGAGGACCGGGTATAAGCCTGAAGTGTAGTTGAATCTCTTTTGCAAGTGAGCTTTGGAGATGTCTGAGGCTAGGCGCAAGTGGTGCACGCAGTACAACAGTGCACAACGTTGGCTTGATACTAAAAAGGTGCTCTAAACAAGTGGCTCAGATAGGTTGCCTCGTTTTGCTGGGTACTCAGGCTAGTTCGGTTGGATAGTTGAAGACGCAGTAGGAGCTAGCGTTTGACCTCTAAGTCAAGTTGTCCGTAACCTAAAGAGCGGAACGATCTCCGTCGCAGCAGAATGGATACCAGTCACTACACGCAATTTCTTTTTTATGCGCTGAAATATCTCTTTGGTGATGGATCCGTAGGTTTAACTTGAACGTGAGGTAGAAGGTAATCACGTTCCAAACAATTCGCGCCCTACGAAGCACACATGTCAAATCTGATTGAAGTAGACAGGACAGCTCCCGGGTGGAATGATATAATCATCAATGGAGGGATGAAGGAGGCATGTGATAG